ACTAAAAAAGGGGACAAATGAATTGTAATGGAAAGCATAAGACGGAAGACTAGACGAAAATGGGGAGAACTGATAAAACTGATAAACAAGTAACTGGACAACAGAAAATGACTCTAAAAGATCGGCGAGCACAGGTGTTTCTCGAAACAAACAAAATCTCAATGAACGCTAGTAAGGAGCAAAAGCACGGCCGGAGTTGAAAAGCTGAGTGCGACCACCCTTCCACCCAATCCTCATTCCTTTCTTACTTACACAACGCTTTGAAGTGAAAGAAAGAAGAAAAAGAAATAAAGAGAGAGAGAGAGAGAGAGAGAGAGAGAGGTTACTTCGGTATGAAATCACTCATTGCTTTTCCATCTATTAGTGTTGCCTTTGACATATGAATATAATTTTTTTTTCAGTCACTTACGTACGCGCCTGTAGACGGAGTTTGGCCGACCGCATGCAGCATTAGTGTATGTATTCACCGTGTTTTTTTTTTCGGTGCGGCGATAGTTATAGTTTTAAATATATGGACGCATATACTTCGACTGCGGGCGTATTACTGACGAAGAGGTGACGCATCCTACATTAATGGATGACTACTTCGTGCAATCGATAACACCGCGGCCTTCAAGGCTTTGCGACGGCGTTACAGAAGTTGTTTAGTTCAGTTCATAAATATAATACCCCAAACACCTTCATTTTTGTCAAGTACGTCATATATTAACGCCAGGCTAAAGGTTTTCTCCATATATACCCCCAAGAACACCGTTCACTCAACAGTTATCCGCACATGCGCTCAGACTTGGCGCGGATTAATACGCCCTGGAATAAGACATGTGCCAATATTTGCCCAGCTTTCAAAACTTGTGCTCGACTGACGCGCACGAGGCGGAATCGTGAATCCGCGTTTTACTTCTTTGCTTAACTTTATGTTCGGGGATTGCATCTAATATCACCAGCAGTCAAAGATCGTCTAGAGGGCGAACGTCGGCGCTCTCTGTTTTATTCGCGTGTACATACGCTCGTTTTCTGCGCATACCCGACGTTTCAGGGGGAGGGGGGGGGCAGTGCCGCCGTCAGACTGGAACGTTAACGTCTAGCTCGGCTATAAAGACGTTGCGCGCTTTGGTTTGCACAACGGCTTTCAACGTCTTATTTGTGCAGCCTTTGAGCGTCGACACTCCCCCCCCCCCCCGAAAAAAAAAAGAGACAAATTCGAGGACACGCTTCAAAACGGGTTGGAGTGAAACTTCAGCAAAGTTATAGGGACAAACATCCACGGTTGTATACTTCTATTGTCCGCCGAGTGGCAGCGAGTCCTGGCCAAAATATTCCCTGCGCCTTTGTCGACGTCACATACAGACGGATGCCTTTTGTGCGCTGCACACTCGCGCAGCATGCAGGGACCGCTGACGATGCAAAGTTCAAAGCTCGTGGTAGAGGTATACGCGTTTCACGTATTGTCGCGCGCTGATTTTGATTCAGAGGCATATTGTTTGCTGGGAATTCTCGTGGCTGCACTCTATAACTGCGCCATTGTAGTACAGCGTGTCAAGGCTAAGCTAGGTTGCCTATGCATTGCGCGTGAGAACTTACTTTACGCCCCGACTGAAAAACAAAATGAAGAGGCGGCAAATAAGTGCGAATGTTGAATAGCGTGCAGATTCACAGTGGTAACAGAAGACTACAATAATAGAGGCCATAGAGCGCGAGAACGAATCGCATCGTCCCTTATAACCCGCATCGAACAACTGCACCTTGGTTCTGTTTATATTTTCTGGTGTGATTCATCGATATCTGCGATGGACGGCTCGTGAGTCGACGGCGCCATTGACTCTCGCATCTGGAACATCCGCTCTATTTACCAGCAACGATCGATCACTGGCTGCTATTCACGTTGCAATAGGTATATATTGCTCTTTTTTTTTACTTTGATTGATATGTGGGGTTTAACGTCCCAAAACCACCATGAGAGACGCCGTGGTGGAGGGCTCCGGAAATTTCGGCCACCTGAGGTTCTTTAACATGCACCCAAATCTGAGCACATGGGCCTACAGCATTTTCGCCTCCATCGAAAATGCAGCCACTGCAGCCGGGATTCGATCCCGCGACCTGCGGGTCAGCAGCCGAGTACCTTGGCCACTAGACCACCGCGGCGGGGCCAATTTCTTTACTTTATTCACTGAAGTAGGTGGCCCTTAACCCAGTGTTCTATTTTCAGCGTCTGAAATCACTGATCCTTTCGCAGCATACATTCAACTTATATGTACCCCCCCCCTTTTTTTTTCGTTTCTTGTGGCCAAGCAGACTAAACAATACTTGTCACAAAATTTCAAACAGCTGCTCACTGCTCACGTGGCGCTTGCAACAGTCTAGTTGGTTAATACCGCATTGAACAAAGCAATAGCTTATAACCTTTAACGCAGAGAGACAGCCCACGAACTGAGCGATATGCGCATGCATCTTTGCCACAAACTCAAAAGCTGCGGCACATTTATCGATTCCCTAAACGAGAAAGCATGCGACACCCTTTTGTTTGCGACAACGTCTCGTACGTTATTGGGCGCTTCAGTAGGTGGCGTTGCACGCATGCACTTTGAGTATGCGCAAATTACTCGAAGGCACCAAGATATTTTCATTGGAAAATTTTGGCCCGTTAAGGTCGATATGTAAAAAAAAACGTGGCTGATCCCTCTTTTAGTAATGTGTATAACACGAAAGTGAAACGTGTTCTCGCAGAGATAATTGGGTGTTCTTAGTGCATTGTTGCGCCACAAGGGCAATGGAATGAACAAATTGAAATGTCACGCGAAGAACGGCAAGCAGCTCGTAACTTGCAGCGCGCACACCTCAAAGCACGCACGAAGTGAGCATACACCAGCACGAGCGCGGACTGTCACAGCTCGACACTCAAAGCATGCTGCTCAAATAGAAAGAAAGACGCATGAAATGAACACACAGGTATACACAGTACAAGCGCGAACAACTGTCAAAATTCCTACTTCGTGTGTGAGCAGCGCGCTCTTTTCTTAAACGCGGCCGCGGCAGCGAGGGAAGTGACGTTCGTGCTGTCTTGGGCTCGCCGTTAGCAAGATGAAGGTTTGCACTGTAGCATAGTGGTCAGCGTCGCGCGCTGAAGAGCGAGGGGCCGCTGGTTTGACGCCCCGCTGCGGATCTTTCCCATGTCGTTCTTTTCTTTACACTCATTACACAATTTACAACGTCATATGCGAGGCGCAAATACGTCAGCGGGGCCGTGGTGCACTCAAGCATAAACCACTTTTGTGTTGAAATGCGGACTGCGTGTACATTCATGACTGTTGTCATTTAAGTGCACAGCTTGAAATATTTTGGAAATCATGTAAAACAAAATGTACACCTGTATTTTGTGCTAATAATTCTTGCTTGAGTTTTTCTTTTACTTTGCTGCCAGAGTGGCACGACTTAGACAAGCAATCCTTAAGGCTATTTGTAAAGATTTTTTCTTGAATAAACCGAATAAACCAGTTTGCCGCTTTAACGAACATGGTCCACGCTGAAGGCGTACAAGTAGACCCATGCCTTGGATTGCGTCATTGCTTCCTACAAGATAGCTCAAAAGTAAAACTCATGTAATTGATTCCTAAAAGCATTTGTTCCACAAAAAAAGAGAGCAAACTTACCTGTTGCAGCCAATATCCACCCCTAGCATAATATATATATATATATATATATATATATATATATATATATATATATATATATATATATATATATATATATATATTATATATATATATATATATATATATATATATATATGTGTCAGCAAAACATTTTGGGTAGTCGTGGGTCATGCGTCATGCGGCTTCCATACGTAGACCGTAAGGTAAATAAATAGGTTGTTCAAAGTGACAGTTCTGTGATTCTATTATACATCCGTCATTAAGAAACACTGTAGAAGTGTTTTGTTTCATTCATGCACTATATTCTGGGTGTGTAGGTATTTATTAGTAGAATTCATAAGGCACACGTTACAAGGTTTGTTCGTACGCCACTTTCATTTTTGTTGGACAAAGGAAAAAAAAAATCAGGCAAAGCTTATCTTCTCCCCAAACACAAAAATATATTTGATGAATCACACGGGCCTTACTTTCGCGGGTTGAATCTCAATACTAAATGATGTGACGTTCATACAAGATAGAAGTTCGGGAGAACATGGAAGCTTGATGTCACGAGCAATACTCAAGCGAGGAGCATCGTCGCTGGAGCCAACGACAAGGGAAGTTATCTTCGACAGGGCAGCAACAATTCTACCCAGATGAAGACTTGGCGAAACGATGGCTCCAGATACACTCTGCTCTGTTCGATGCTTTGTCATAAATGTTAAATCAGGTAGTTAATCAGCTCTCTCCATTCCTGTAAGTACCAAACGCATGTTTCGTATCGGTTAAAAATAGTCCGGATAGTACCGTCATATTGGACATTTCCACCAAACGTGGCACTATAATGTCAACTTCAAGCATACTTGTTTTTATATGGCAGCCATGCATAACAGCCGCGCAAAAAGCGTTGGCTTCGGGTTCTCTAACGAGCTGAGGATCTTCCCTTTTCACTTAGGCGGGTATATAAAAGTTTCTGTTTGAATATAACTGTAGCAGATCATCTAGAAGCCAACCAAACTTATTCGCTAGTTTTATGGTCACGTGAGTGAGTTTGTAATGCTGATACATACCTTCTAAGTTTATTGCTTAAGTTTTTACAATATTTTCCAAAGACATTTCTATCACCAGGGCCGCGGGTGTACACGAAGTCTTCAAAGCAGCTGATACTTGTGTTTCATCATTCTTTATATGACGTTTTTGAACCAAGAAAAAAAGTGGTATCTACTCCACCGGTAAAGCAATATTAAGGGGGGAAATGTGACGTGTGGGAATTCGCTGCTGCGTGCCGAGTGTAATGCACACCCGGTACCAGGCTCTTCAATCTTGGACATAATTGACGGGCAGAGTACAATCCCGAAAATATGAGCCCACCTGGGCGAGCGATACGCCAGCAACAATGCAAAGTTTGTAAGGACCACTTGCCTGTCTCATGTACCGCACCGGCGCCTGTAATGAAAAGATGCACATAAGATAATCCGCTTCACAACACATGCGTACAGAGGAGGCAAGCGTTTAAAGTAAAGTATTCTTACGCCATCGCCTTTGTCTCCTTTCTCTCCCTGAGGTCCGGGCTTTCCCTGCATACAAGAACCATACACTAAGCCTCTCCACAAAACTTGTAACATTGCTCGTAATGACAGAACGCACTATGCATGCACTGTATTTTTTGCTGTCTCTTGCTTTTATATATATGTCAATCGTAAATTTAGCGGCGTTTTTTTTTTACTGGTAGATCCGGATGATATTTCCTTGTCCCACGGCGACGAATCCGAATTCACTGGCCGATTCAGAATGGTTTTGGAGCTTTTCACTGGTCCTTTCGGATCAATTCAACTCGCTCAATGCCAGATCGCTCTCACTTGCTCCAGTGCCTAGCGGATACGGGCAGAAATAGCCCGAGTTGGCCGCGTCACATACGTCGCGTCTTTCGCCGAGACATAACTTTCATTACCAGTACGAGTCTAGTGTTAACGAACTTCCGCTCTTTCCTGGCTGATTCAGATTTGTGAAATCTTACTGCTCGCTTCAAAATTTTGGTTGCCGTTTTAGATCGACCCGTGAAAAACGCGGAGAGATGAGTTAACGTTTAATTAAATGCGAGTCGGTGGTAGTCACAGCCCCTGCGTGGTTTTTTTTCCCGATTGTACGCGTTCTGGTTGCTGCAAGGGTTAGGTCTCACTTAAACTCAAAGAAAGCAACGAAAACGTCGAAAAGAGAGGCAGAAGTAGAGACAGTGAACACAAGGGTGGATACCCAGAGCTGACGTTTATTTCGAAAAAAAAAAAAAACACCTCCTTTTAAGCCCATACAGAGCATGCGAAAAAGCCCCATACTAGATCCCGACGATGAACTTATCCATGCAACTCACCACTGCTAAAAAAGTTACACTCTTTCCGGGTCAAAAACACAGAAGCTGCGCTTACACATTTTTCTGAACCAAATTTTTAAATATGGTCCGCACCAAGCCACTCTCTTTCACGTTGCGTCTTAGCCTTACCTCGAATTAATCCATTCACAAACATGGGTGTACAACCACACTGCTTACAACGTAGTGGAATGTTACCACCAGTGACAGGGGGTAGAAAATTAGCAGGCTCCAGCTCACGAACAATAATGAATCGACCAGATTGTCTAATGCATTGCTTATTGCGACTAATCCGAATGCTATACATCCCGCATGTGTCACTTGCGCAGTATTTGTGGACATGTTTCATGTCTGCCGAGTTACACAACCCTCTTACCTGCGAGTTTACTTGCGAGTTTACTTGATACGGACCATATTTGGAAACTTGGCCCGGAAAAATGTGTTAGCGCAGCTTCAGTGTTTTCGTTACAGAAGGAGTGTAACAGTGGTGACTTGCATAGATAAGATAGGCGCAGCGATCCGTTAGAGAGCTTTTGCGCATGCTGTATGGACTTAGGAGGAGGCGTTTTTCTCGAAATATACGTCAGTTGTTAGTAGCCACCTCTGTGGTTACTGTCTCTGCTTCTGCCTCCCATTTTCTTTTTGAGAAGTTTTAGTGACTCTTTTGGGTTTAAATATGTACCAACTTGCCCAACAAATGGAACTCTTGAAGTCCTACGAGTACGCTGGTTGATGCCGCTTAACTCCGGAGACGTGCTGATGTGCTGTGCGGCTGAACGCTTTTTTTTTATGGACACTCCAGGCACGTTTTTTCCATCGCCGTGAGGTTCCGTGAAACAAAGTCTAATAGCACTAACATCGCTCCAAGATTTCTGTGTTTTAGCCCCGCCGCGGTGGTCTATATAGTGGATAAAGTATTCGGCTGCTGACCCGCAGGTCGTGGGATCGAATCCCGGCTGCGGCGGCTGCATTTCCGATGGAGGCGGAAATGTTGTAGGCCCGTGTGCTCAGATTTGGGTGCACGTTAAAGAACCCCAGGTGGTCAAAATTTTCGGAGCCCTCCACTACGGCGTCTCTCATACTCATATGATGGTTTTGGGACGTTAAACCCGACATATCAATCAACTTTCGGTGTTTTATGAGTGATTGCAAGCATGAAAGGGCAGCGGATGATTGCGGCTCAAAAGCAGACGAACCCCGCCGTCGTCTGTTATCGCACGAAAGGCCCATGAGGGTTGCCGAGGGGTTGTTGCGTGGTTCTGGTAGAAACTGCGCACATTAGGCTGTCACCCCATTTCGACAGGAATTATAAGAAGGCTTTTGAACATTCTGTGTTCTCACCGCTAAGCTTGCGCTGACGCGAAAGACGACATGAAGGTCGCTTCGCACGCTGTAGCGGACGCGTCTCCTTACGCTCAAATTTTGTTGAGTTACGCCATGTGGGATGCTGAAGGAGCTAGCTGCTAGCCTTACTTTCTAAAACACTTCAACTTGTTGCTAACGCATTCATTATATCGCATTCAACTGTGACTTTTTGAACGGCAAGATGTAAACCTAATACGGAGCTCGCCGTAATACGGAGCTACACTCACTGGGGGACCGGGTAATCCTGGCATTCCCATCAGGCCAGGTGGACTGGCTTCTCCGGCGCTGCCTTTCTCACCCTTGGATCCAGGTAGCCCCTGCGGAAGGTATCAGTTACGGGCATGTGATTTTGAAAGCAGTAGCGCGTCACTAGGTTTATACCTTCCTATGAATGAGTGTGCGAATGTGAACAGAAGAGCCTATATAGAAGCAAGTTCAATGTAATGCACGATAAAACCTGCGCTGCAAAGTTGATAGAGACGGGAGGCGGCAATTACATAGACGAACTTGCGTCTGCTTTGTCTTTGTCCACACTATGTTTAGTCTTTTCGTTTAATTAAATCAGTTGTTAGATACGCTTCACTTGTTTCGTTCCTGTCCAATCGTCTTTGTAAACTTTGCAGCGCGTCCTTTATCAGCCATGATGTGAGCATGCTGTTGCCTGATTGATTTCCTTCTCGTTCGAAGTGGCCAAAAAATGCACAGAGATGACACCGGGAGTTGCAATCGAACCACGCAATGAAAAGAGCCTGCACGGTACAACATAAAATCAAGCGATAATTTGGTAAAAGCAGCACAAAAAGACTGCAGCACGAAACGAAGAATGACACAGAACAAGCACTGCGTCTTTCTTCATCTCGTATTGTCGTCTTATAACACTTATTTTACCATGAAGGTCCATTAACAAGCCCAGTTTGCCACACGACCACTTGGCTCTGCAGTACCCAAACTTGCAATATTGGCATGTTGCCGTAAATGCTACGGCAGCATGTCCGTAGCAGCAATTGTCATTTATCAGCCGAACGTGTGGCATAGATGTAATCATGTGCATCATTGTTTCCATGCTCTCGCGTTGATCATGCCCTCGTCGGATCGAAGCACGATTAATTAAGAAAGTGAGCATGCTCGTCCTATATGAGACAATTCAGAGACGGCAAGCATCTTACATTACCGCTAGTAACTACATATATAAGATAGATAGATAGATAGATAGATAGATAGATAGATAGATAGATAGATAGATAGATAGATAGATAGATAGATAGATAGATAGATAGATAGATAGATAGATAGACGCATGCGCGTGTAGGAGTGTCGTTAAGTTCTCTGCGTGCGAAGGGTGTGTTTAGGCCTTAACGGAGTTATTACTCATTAGTGTGCACAAACCAGAGCTCTTCACATTAACTACTGTGTAACTTAAGCTTTGGTTTTCATATCAGCCGCAGTGCTTGCTTTTAAATGTCGACCTTCACACCTCTTTTTTATTCTTTAACAAGGCGTCCAGGGAAATTCCTCAGAACATTTCCCAGTGATGTCTCGAAGCCCAGCTGACGCCTTGAAAGCCTGCAAGATTCACGAACGAAACGAGCAACAAAGAAACTCACCGTCGGTCCGGGCCTTCCCGGTGCGCCGTCTTCTCCTGGCCTTCCAGGGTGGCCGACGCTGCCCTTCTCGCCCTGCGCAAGCCGCAAGAGTTCAACTCGTCGAGCGCTACCTCTGCTTCAGCAAATAGACCGACATGCACACACACACGCGGCACCTGAGCGGAGGAACGGAGCAGGCGCCGCCACCATAAAAACTTGTGTCAACATTACAAGAGCCTGAAAAATAAGGGGGAAAAAAAGGACCCACAAGCCTGGCGCCGAGCATATTGGCTGCACTTGGGCGAGAAACTGACATGTTTAACGACTGCCTTAGAATCACTCCTGCTCGATGTTCCTTCGGCGGCCCTTGAACATTTGTTACATCCTGCTCAAACTCGCAGCGCGTGCGCAGTTCTCTGAGGAAACTCCGTAAAAACAAAAAAAAAAATGACAAAAATGATATGAATCGAGTGACTTGATTAATATATGGGATAGACGTCCCGAAGTAACACGGCAACTCTGAAAGAGGCTATGGTTCAGTGTTGCTGATTAATTTATACCACCTGAAGTGTCCCGATACTTTGCAGTCTTTTTTTTATATTCCATCCTAGTTGGAATGTAAATGTAATGATTGATATCAAAAGCGCTACTATTTGGTTCCCAGTGGTACAACCATGGTGGATAATGTTTTTTTTTTGGGGGGGGGGGCATAAACCAACATAGCAGGATATGATGAAAACTATCTGGCTAAGGTAAGCTCTTGATTATAACGTTTCGTGAAATGAACAGGTATCGCCGCAGCAGGCATAACTGACGGCACATTTATTGCTTGTTTTTTTTTTACTCCCGGTCACGAAGCTTTTATAACATTACGGCTATTTCAGTGTCCATGTACCATCGACATAATTTAATAATTATTCTTCTTAGACAACGCGCCGTTGTGGTCAGTTCCATGGCTTTGGTCACCGCGTTTCGAATGTAGACAAGAAAAAGAATAAGATCTCAGATTAAGGCGGACATTAAAAATACCGGGTGCAAAAATTATTCTGGAGTCTTCTGTTGCACGTCTCGCGTAACCCACAGTAGAATTTCGCAATTCCGATTCTCCTAATTGAGCTTTAGTTCTCGTTTTAAAGCAGACTTGTGGGGCAATTTTTACCACTCGTGTACAGATTACCCTGCCTTACCAACCCAGCATTCTAAAGAAGCCTCACTGTATATATGTGCCGCACTTAGTGTGCTTGCGAAGGCGGTCACCCGTCCATCATAGCTGACCTACATAAGTCACAGTTTTCGACGTGAACTCCTGGCGTGTGCCTTGTTGAGTTACGCAAGCAGCAAACTCTACTGGCATCTTATTAAAGAACCCAAGCGGCATGCGGGCGGAGGCCCATATTTACGTTTCCTAATGTAAAACTTCCTGTCTCAAGGCACGCCACTCGGCCATATCAGTATTTGCTACAGGAATTACGACAATCCAAGCCTACAGAGCAGCGCTGGAACCTATTTGAAAAGCTGTGTCTAAAAAAAAAAAAGAATTCATCATCACAGATGACTCTTCCAAAGTTTATTGACGAAGTGAGGAAATGCTAGAAAAATATATAGCAATTTATTTTCACGCGAATTTTTCCACAAGTGTTCGGTGCGATCAGAAACGAGCAGATCTCAGTGGCACGACTGATACTCAAAATTGTGCAGCGAACTGATTCTGACGGCAACCTCGGTTCGAAGAGCCTATTTTATCATTCCCTTTGTCGGCAAGACACTGTTGCCTTTGTGATAAACTTTATCAGGAATTGGTTATTAGGAAGTTACATTCCTAGGAAAACGACGCCATTCTGATGACGCGACGCAATAATATGCTAAGAAAAACCTCGTTTCAATGGGAATTTAAGCGTGATTTCAGCACGGAGGCGTGCTGAGCGAAAAAATACAACACAAGACACTTTTTCTGGAACATCCTATGCTGCAATTGCAAGTTTCTTTTGTCTAGCTTTTTGAGAGAGATGAAATTTTTGAACTTTGCCCCTTCACCAGCTCTCGGCCTTGCTTTGTGCCACCGCTTCGCCACACAGCACTTGAGCATGTCATGGAGCAGGCACTCGGCACGCGTAGCGTTTCGATGGCGGCGAACTTCAGCGGCTTTTAATATGCTGCCGCGTCGTGTGACCAGTCAGGGGGAAAATGTTTACCGTGAAAATTTCTACATATGGGTTGCAAATTAGCGTCTACAGGTATCCAAGAGTTACTATGCTGTTTAATCATCATCATGAGCCTGAATGCGCCCACTGCAGGGCAAATGCCACTCCCATGTTCCACCAATCAACCTGGTCTTGTGCTTTCTGCTGCCACGGTATACCTCCAAATTGCAAAACCTACCAGCCCACCTAACCTTCTGTCTTCCCCTCGCACGTTTGCCTTCTGTGAGAATCCAGTCAGTTACCATTGGTGACCAGCGGTTATCCTGTCTACGCCCTACGTGCCCGGCCCGTGTCCATTCCTTTTTCTTGGTGTCACCTTTGATATCCTTAACCCCAGTTTGCTCCCTGACCCACTCTGCTCTTTTCTTGGCTCTTAATGTTAAACCTATCATCTTCCTTTCTACCGCTTGCTGCATCGTCCTAAATTTAATCTGAAACCTCATCGTAAGCCTCCTGGTCTCTTCTCCGTATTTAAGTACCGGCAAGATGCCGCTGTTTTGTATACCTTCCTCTTGAGGGTTAGTGGCAGATCACCATTCATAATTTGAGAATGCTTCCCCAATGTGATCCATTCCATTCTCATTCTTTTAGTTATTTCACTCTCATGGTTCTGCTCCACGGTTATTACCGGTCCCAAGTAGACATACTCTTTTAAAACTTCCAGTATCTTTCACCTACCGAAAAGTGCTGTTTTCTGCCAAGGCTGTTGCACATTCGTTTAGTTTTGTGCATATTAATTTCCAGACCGACTCTTCTGTTTTCCGTGTCCAGTTCAGTAATCTTGAGCTGTAATTCGTCCCCTGAGTTACTCATGAAGCCAATGTCATCAGCGAATCGCACGTTACTAAGATACTCTTCATTAACTCTTATTCCTAACTCTTCCTATTATAGGGCCCTGAAAACTTCCTGTAAACACGTGGTATTTACATGAGGTTTACAAGAGATTTGGAGAGATCGTGTTTCACTGCCTTACAATCTTCTTCATTGAAATCTGTCGCTTTCTTTTTGGAAAACTAACTATGGATAACTTACTATGGAAACTACCCGACTGATGAACACCAATATATCTATTTGCCCGAGGTTTATTTACTACTCCAAACGCCAACAAAATAGCATACACCGTTAAAGGCAACGCCAGTCAATTCTATAGTAGTTAGAAACTTTTCGCGTTCACTTTTCATGCACTCCAACCACCCGCGAGTTATACGCTCAACTTAACAATCACATAGAATAGCCGATTAGTTCGCAGAACAGGACGGCGCAACTTCTCAGTTGATAGGAAACGTCAAAGTGTGCCACCACTCGAAATCAGCAAAACTCCGACATCGCGGGCACATTGAATCCAACAGTGTCAAGATTTAGCGAGACAGGAAGAAGTTAGGGAATAATAAACGCGTGAGAAGGAGGGTCAACAAGGGCACTAAGCCGGCTTAAGCTCGCAAGGTCAGAAGTTCGAAACCACGCCATTTTTTATGATGGAAACACGAACTTTGAAGGAGTTAAGACAATGCTAGGAGAGCAACGTCTCTTGTCAAGTTGAGAGCTGCTAGCCTGTCAGGTGGTATTCTACAGCGCTAAAAAAGTGCAACCGAACCCTTTATGTAGAGACAGCGCAGCAGCCTAGCATTCAATGACGAAATTCGGTTCTAATGCAGATGCCGGACCATTCCCAATCGTATATTTACTTAAAACGCGTGATAAAAGAATCGATAAAAAAAGAAGACGTCTGGGATGGGGCATCACAGGCAACAACCTGCTGGTAAAGCACTTTCTCACCAGAGCAGGATTGGCCACACTGCTGCAGTACTTGGCCACTACCTCCCTTATTAAAGTACCAACCAACCCTTCGCCCTCAGTCCCCAGCTGTGAAGCAAGGCGGAGGTCAGACCTGCGACGCAGAGGAGAGTGCTGAGAATCTCTGGGTCCGGACTATGCTGTATCGCATAACGTTAAAAGAGCTACATTTCATGAACGAAATTTAGATACGCGTCGTCATCAACATCATGTGCGCACACACGAGTTCGCTTAAATATAAAAAAGAACAAGAAAATGCAGTAAATCAATAAACACTAACTACGCGCGACAATTAGGAATTCGCGTTTGATTCCCTAAGTTATGGCAGAATCTAGTGCCTGCTGCCATTCCCCGCTGTCAAGTGCGGGTATTATGTTGTAAGATTGCTCTGAATCTTCTTACGGTAGTGTTTGCCTGCACTCGTCGTCACAACAAGAGTGCTACGTTAAATAGGGCAAGAAAAATACCTCATAACTGCGATCTACTTCCGAGTCCCGAAACCGTACGTGATTTCTGCTATAATCAGTCAAGTGCCTGAACCACGACTCATCATGCTTGAAGAAACAAAAAGAAGAAAACAGCGAAAAGCTGCTGCGAACATTTCAGCCAAATGTGGCAGTTATACGCGGCCAAGAGGGCGTAAGAGGGCGGAGCGACGTTGCCACTTTTTCAAGCACCTGCTTTTAATACAGGGGCCCGTATACACCTTGCTCGCTGCTGCAGGTGTCTGCTCTATAGCGCCATGCAGAAGATTGCTGCTGCATAAAGCAAGAGTATCGTTCAAAACGCTATTTGGTGATTTCTAGAAAAAGTGATTTGGGACCCCCTTAGCACGATTTTTTATAGGAATTACATAAATTGACTGCAAGAAAATACATCCTCTTACTAAACATTATTCGCGTTTGTGCACAGTCTCGTTTAGATGGTGTGCGTCTAACCCTAAACTTTTCAGTCCCGCACGATGTCAGATTACGAATGCGTTTTCCTGAAAAACCCGACTTCCGAAAAGGAGAGAGATGAGGACACTCGAGGGTAAAAGTAAACAGACGTGTGGCAAACGGCTTGAAATGCGATCAGAAGGTCCGGTCAAGCTAACACTTTGGTACACCACCGAGTTTACGAAAGGGTGGACCGCTTACCCTGGGTCCGGGCAGCCCAAAGTCTCCTTTCATGCCCTTCGCTCCAGGCTCGCCTTTCTGTCCAGGGAGGCCTCGGATAGACCTGCCGTCCCTTCCAGTGTTGCCCTACGGGGAGGGAACGGGGAGGATACAAAAAGAGGAGGGGAAAAGCGGCGCACCGGCACCGGTCAGTCAACGCGGCTGGCAGCAAGCGAAGGATGATAGCTCGCCGTTCATTTCTCATGCTCTTTTCTCTCCCTTCTTTTCCCTGTAAGGATGATCAAATTGAGAGGAAAGAAGCAAAAACCCTTTTCTGTCATGATAGGCACCGGCGACGTTTGCAGACAAAGGTGGCACGGATTCGCTCACTGCTCGGCACCAGCAACGTTCGGGCGACCTGCCCCCTGTCACCTACGCGCACGCGTCACTTGTCGCGTTCTAGTGGACCTTGTGGCGCACTTTTGTGCCTGCAGGGGCAGCCGGCCCCGCGGGAAACTGTTCATTTAATTCCGTAAGGCGTGCTAACGCGCACCACGAAAGGGCGGCGTCAGAGCTGGGCGTTGTTTTCGCAGCTTGTAAACGCGTGACCGTTTTGCCCGCTATGTTGTCGCTCGGCGAAAGTCTGACAAATGAGAGCAAACACAGTGACTGGTACACATTGCTGCGGCTCGGGCACGCGGCTTTTTCACAGAACCGCTGCAGACGCCGCACACATGCGTGGCAGTAATTGCGCAGCGAATAATTTTACAGCATTCAATTTCGTCTCACAGCGCAGCTGCAGCGTAATCAACTAGCCTGCAGATCTTGAGGCAAAGTCCCGATTATCCATAGCAGGTGCGCCACTGTCCTGTGCCATTTTAAATGTGATCCTACCGTTAAAGCTCACCTAGATCATGCGTTTGGTGGCTTACAAACAGACGAAGCTGGCATCACCTTTTCTTAACGCACAAATACTCGCGGCGAATCTTTAAACAGTGCGCTTTGAGATAAGCAAGAGCAATTCTGACTCGACGAACGAACGGTTGTCCTGACCTGCGTGAAGAATAATCGCAAGCATGCAACCGTATGCACCTCTTGCAGGATAGTAACCACCTGCACTTAACAACTACAGCTGCTTACTACGGTCTGCAGGTGACCTCAAGTTCCGCACCACAGCGCAAGAACAGGCAGGAGTCGGGAACGTGTCTTACGTTAGTGTTCCACGTATAAACAGCTCCATGTTGTAGCAAAACAGCCATTTGGGCTAGTTGGTCGCAGTTCATTAAGGAAAATAGAAGTTTGGTGCAGTACTTAACTCGGACTCCGCTTGTGTTACTTTCTTCTCCAGTCCGTGTTAAGTACTGCGCCCCACTTCTATCTTCCTTGATGAAGCTCCATGTTGTATCAGAAAGCACAACCGTTGAGCACGTCTTAGCGCAAGAAGCCTTGGTCCGGCTAACTGGGTTGCTGCTTCCAAGTCGATGCCATGAGGAACCGCATTATAAATGTTGTTAAAAGTTTTCCTGCACTTTTCCTTGTACCACGTTTTTTTTTCAACGCCCACTGGCAATCATGTCCACAACAATCGTTACTCCTGTATAATCTTGCTTCGTGGTGCAGTTCAAGGGCCACTAACATTGTGAATGCAGCACCAGCAGCAAGGCGTGCAATTTCTGTCCCGGATGTACAGAGGTCACAGTGGTGACATGAATGGCACCTGTCAATCCCAGCGTCAATTTTCACTTCACAAATGGCATGCATGGCAGCCATTCAAGTGACAGGCTTAAACTCGACAGCTAAGCATACACCGTTCGTTGAGGTGCACTTTAAATTAAGCTACATTATTGCGCGAGTGAACTAAGTTTCATTATCTGGACAGGAATGAACAGTAAGAAATTCGCACACTATACGGCATTTCAAAATTTGACAGCACACCAAACAAGCTGGAAATGTGCAAATGCGAGCATTTTCGGGGCTTTTATGCGGACTAGTTTAGAGGACTGGTGACGCATAGAGCTAGCGAAAGTGAACGATTGCTTACACAGCGTAAAAACTGCTTCTTCACAAGAAACGAAGCATAGAAAAAAAACAATAAAAAACTTCTGCCAAAAGGAAGAGTATGAAAAAAAGAAACAAGAAACAAAGGCACGCCGTAGTAAACGTCGCCTTCCGTTAGCAGTTCACACCCGACCATGGTGGTGGAGTTAGTAGTGGTAGCGGGTTAACGCAATTAGCGAGAACGGGCTGCGTGCGACGCCCGCGTCTCGGAACGCGTAAAATAAGTAAATAAAAGAGAGGAGGGTTCCAATCGAAGGCAGGGTTACACACGAGTGTGCGGCACAGTGACACAAGGGGACAACCGAGACGTAAACGCAACAAAGTGTGGGTGGAGGCAGTGCAACGCAAACAGTACATACGTAAAATAAAGAACCAAGGGAGGAATCAAAAACTCAGGCCCTTGTTTCTTTGTCTTCACTTTTTTTATTTAGAATAAAGAGCAAGAAGAGCGACCATAGTGAAAAGTGCAACTTACCTCAAACCTGGACGCTCTGTTTCGTTAAGAACGCGGAAGGTGTCAATGGCGCCCCAGAGGTTTCAGGGAGGCGACATCCGTTCTTTCGGGGCAACATGAAATCCAGTGGGCATTGCAAAAAGACAAGTCTGCAATTTCTCTCACTAAACTAGTGCCTGTCTCTCCCGTCTCCCTCATGATTAATTTTTTTCCTTCTAATCTTTCCTTCCTTCTTGGTTCATTATCTTGCACCCATCAGCTTATGAACTTTGTACAAATCATTCGCCGAGCACCGAAGGGTGTCTGTCTTAGAGCACGCATAAGTCCTGGAAAAAGGGGGCTGGCCTTCACGTCCGCACGGAGACCACGTCGCAATGTGACCGAGACAAGCTGCGAGTGTGGTCGGACGTGAGAGCGTATTCGCCGCCATATTCGATGGCGAACCCGACGCGCCCGCCGGCACTCGCGCAGTACTCTGCGTTTGTGGCACCGCTCAGTGCGCGCGACGTGTGCACTGCCGGCCGTGAGGGCAGCTCGCTTCTTCGTGCTTAACTCGTGGAATAAATAAATAAAAAGGGAGAAAGGAACAAGAAGCGGGAGTGCCTTCTGAAAGCGCCTGCGCGAGAGTGCTCCTCCTTCGAGCTGCTCTCCCGACGGGAGGAGTGTCGACCTGCACGGGGAGAGTGCAGAACAGACGGATGCACCCACCTGGAGAGAGACTGCAGCGCTGCAGCCTCGTTGATGATGGGAGCACGTTTGCGGGTGATGGTGAAATTGTTTTGTGGTGTCAGTATTTGGTCAGCCCAGAAACAAACAAACAAAAAGAATGTGTCCGAGGAAGGTGTGGGGAGGGCAGGGGGGTCGACGACACGCACACACACTGGCACGGGCATGCGAGGCGGGACTCGAGTAGCGGCCCTTCGGGAAGCGGACAAGAGAACGCCGTGCGGGCGATAAAAGCTAGTTCCTGCGCATGCGAAGCCGCCAGGCGACGCAGCACTCGGGCGCGCTTTTCGGGGCTTGTCGACAATATCGCCGACGTCCTTGCGGCCGAAATTCGACCTTCGAGAGGACGGCGGGAGCTTCATTTGTACATACAAGTGCCCCTACAAAGCTTGGGCGTTCTTACGTGAATACAACAAGAGACGAGTTTCCTGATCGCTTTTATGTTTCGTTATTAGAAACACACGAAACACCCCGAGGCGCGACGAAGTGCTCAAATGGACGGCAAATGAAAGGGCGTAAGGCGAAACAAATAAAGGATGCTTGGCAGAGAGTGTGCAACATGCGGGAACGAAAAAAAAAAAACCTTCGGGAGGTACGCGGGGTCAGGCGGCAAAACGGCACTGGTACCACTCACGCTAACGAGTAGAGCAAGCGTTTTTCAAGCACACAGCCACACACACGCACGCACAGCCTCGAGAAGAACGCACGTAGACTCGTGCGCTGCCGTTGCGCCGGTGAAGCTGTACAGTGCCGTAAGTGTTCAAAGGAGAATGCATCCTGCGTGATCAACAAACTTTAGGGGAGGGGCGCCTCTCATAGCTCACTGCGCGAATCCTCGTGTAACTAATTAATGCAGCTAGCAGAAGCGTGCCGGTTCTCCTCTTACGAGTGTGGGCGCCCACATCTACGCCGCCACTTGAAGTGGCTCTTACGCCGGGTTGAGCGCTTTGAAGCTGCTCAGGCCGGTGCATCTGGCGCTCGGCTTCTCGAGCTGAAATGGCGTGTTCTGCTGGTGCTCGAGCAGACGAAACTAAGCTCGGTGACGTGTGCCACTGTGGCTGCTGTACAGCGCGACTGGCGCAACGTGTGGCACAAGCGTGGTCAGGGACCCGCGCCAAGGTGTCGGGCCACGTACCTTCTTTCCCCTGCGGCCCCGCTCTCCCTTGTCGCCCTTGGCGCCGTCCTCCCCCGGTGGTCCCGGGATGCCGACGTCGCCCTGAAAACGGCCGCGCGTGGCACAGACACCGATGTCGCGACGTCGTCCATGTAACCACTCCCCTCGTCACCCGACCTCCCTCTCCCAACACTTTTTTTTTCATTAGCTGTTCGTTCATGGGCAGAGCAGCAGTATAATAGCTGCATTCGGTTGAATATTTCACTCTCTTGCCCATTATGATCAAGGTTGTCACCGAATTGAACAGCAGCTAGTATGCAACTTGTCTTTTTTCCCATAGAAAGTGCTTGGGCGAAAATGACGTCATGCCCAGATTCTATGTTTGTGTGAACTGTGGCTTTGTGCTATACCTCCTGGATTACGCAATGCTACAGCATCGGATGAGATTATTTGCGTGCGTGAAATTGCCACGCACTATAGTACCGCCGCGGTGGTCTAGTAGCTAAGGTACTCGGCTGCTGACCCGCAGGTCGCGTCATCATATTCAGGCTATGGCGGCTCCCTTTTCGATGGAGGTGAAAATGCTGTAGGCTCGTGTGCCTAAATTTGGTTGCACGTTAATGAATTCCAGGTGGTCGAAATTTCCGGAGCCCTCCTCTACGGCGTGTCTCATAATCATTGGGTGGTTTAGGGACATTAAACCCATATATCAATCAATCAATCAATGCTACGTGCAATATCCGCCAACAAAAATAGTGTTTTTTTGCGTACAGCCGGGTACAATTTTATCCTACAATAAATTTTTAGTGGGGGTGTGAACAGGTTCCTATCGCACAAAAGAAATATTTCATTCAATTTTTTTTCCACGCACGTCGCTTTTTTTATCCCCTTCAAGACTGAGCTTCTCAGTAGTGAGCAATTGTGGCCTTTAAGCGACCAATTTCATCACGTAGCACTCTAAGGTTGCCGTAGCTGCTTTTTCATGTTAAAAATACTTTTGTGATTAAAACGTGCAGCGTAACCTAAAACGAATGCACAACTTCATATTGCTTTCACAAATGCTTAAACGACAACAAGAATAAACTTTGACGGAAGTCCGTGGCGTAGCACCTCATATTCTAAGAGGGTTTTTTTTTTCTATAAACTGGTTGGGGGCATTTTTTTTTTCATGTTCATAGTTTTCTATAGCTGCAACACACCTCATCACTTACTGGAACAGCCGAAAGGCTCTTTTCTTCACGCGTGTTAAATATACTTTTCAAGGTTATTTTCTTTAAATAATTGTCTCTGAAGCAGCTGGGAGATGAACGCAAGGCTGACGAATAATTAACGCGCTGGTACACTTTTTAGCTTTCACCGAGCGCTCGACAACCTTTCACTCAATACCATTGATTATTCATTGAGTCACTGGGAATGATTAATAAAGATATTTTCGAGCTAGAGTGACGCGGCCAACAGTTCACACAAGAGGAATTCCATGAGACTGGCAGGATAATAACTATTTAAGGTCAAGCACTTTCCTTTTTGTTTTTTTCAGAGATGTCTATTTGCACGTTCATGCAAGGTACAGACACAAGTGCAAAGTGAGAGTGATCGAGTTAGACTTTTGTTAGTCGTTTTAGTTTGTGAACACGAGCATAAGCACAAGAACACAAGACATAGTGAGGCATTCCGATTTTACGTCGAAAAAAATGTTTTGCCACCGTAAGCTCATGTGGCAGACCAGCGGGCATCTGATACAACTGCCAGATGAACCTCGCGACTTTAATTTGTTTTGAATCCATAAGCATACCTGCCTGAATGCTTCAATTTCTTTCCACAACGTCAAGCAGCAAGCAAAATATGTAGCTGTTGTAAAGCAATGCTTAACCCACTTTTGCACACTCTTGTAGGGCCAATCGCCCTCTCGTTTATTTCTTCACGCGCCATTTCAGGCCGCGCAGCAACATTGATTTAATTTTCGGGATGTTGATGCAGGTGAGAAGGCGGCAATTTTAAATCTTGTGGGCATGTATCAATCCTCATCAAGTGCCACCAGTATATTATTCTATATGCTTCTGGCGTATCACCCTTCCCCTAAACTTAAGTTTACGGCGAGGTCTTTTTATACAATGGTTAGCACACCAGGTACACTGCTCATTGAGATACACTACTGTAAGACATATGTGGAACACAACTGTGGCACAATGCGCCATTTAGCTGTTGTTAAACTTTAACTCAGTCCTGCAGATCAAATCAGATGTACTCACTCAAGGCAGAACTTTGTGAGAAGAAGCACTGAACTCGACCGTAAGGTATATCTTGACTATAGTAATAACATTACACTTGATCACGGTTACAGCCTAATCATATCGTGCTTAAGCCGTTTTTTAAAGGCGTGCGATGAAACGACATGATAGCATACGGGACATACGTCTGTCGTGAAAAGTAGGCTTATCCAAATATTTCTTTCTCAGTTCTAAGCAAAGTCAAGGCTAGCGGTAATTGGTATCTAATGCACTCTAAGAATAGAAATAAGAAATAAACAGCTCACCTTACTCACTTGGTGAATCCTGACTCGCCCCGTATATATAACTCTCCTTAAATAGTCGTGTAATCCTCTTTTAGAAAAGTCCTGCCTTTCTTCACTCTCCGAAGAAAGCATAATGTTCGCCAATGACAGTTCATCTGTCTCTTCGAAGAGAGTTAGATACAAGGCAAGTCTGGATTCACTAAAAAAAAGTAAAGTAACTTTTTTTTTTTCCTATTTGAACGCGATTTCGAAGCGGGTTCGAATAGCGCCGAGTTTTCAATAGCGCTAGGATATAAGTTATAAACAGTGACATAATACGTTGCATTTAGAAATTCACCATACTTAATTCCCGTTAACCCGTCTAACACGCTCTTAAAGGTAAACGAAATTATTCGGGGTGTCGATAATATGCGCACTTGCAAACGGGGATTCGCCTCTGTAAAACAGGCTTCGCGGCATAAAATTAGAACACTGCAGTGAAACCAGTTTTTCACGAGAGTTAGCCGCGGTAAAATTTGCGTATTCGTTCGTTTCGAATGCTTCTGAATTTCAGAAATCCGGAAAAAGGCGTTGAAGTTAGAAAACTCTAATAATCGTTCGAATGATCAAAATGCTTCATTATTCGCACAAGCCTAATGAGCGCGCATCTTTTTCCAGAAGCTGAAAGTTTTCCACGTGTCCACCGTATATTCCTTCAACGTGCACTGACTGAATACATACTAAGTAACTGAAAACTTGGCCTACGCTATGTTTGGTAAGTGCGAAACCAATGTTGATGTTACCTTTACTTTCTCGAATCATTGCAGTGCGCATGCGTGTTTCCACGCCGTATACAAACACCTATTTTGTCTTACTTTTCTCTTCTTCGTACCACTATCTCTCGTTTTCTCTGGCGATTCCAGAGTGAAAACTCTTTCCTTATTTTATCGGGTTAAACATAGCACCCCCTTTCACTGAAGAAGGCACTATGAGTTCACAGAATCCTTGTGTAGTGTCGATGAAGTGCCGTGAACACTTGTCACGAGCGGCGGTGCCACTACTCACTATCTTGAGTAGATGTGGAGAGCTGAGCAGAGAAACGCTACATAACGGGAGTTTTGTATCACTCTTAGCGCTGGCCTGAGGTACAACTTTTTCAAGGCGGCCGATGGAGGAATGCGATGGAAAGTCGCTTCTAAACTTGTGAAATGCATTTATTCATCAACATAGTTGAAAGAGTGACAGATAGAAGTCAACGTGAGCGTAATCACGCTTTTATGAGGCCTGGGGAGGGGGCTCAAAAGGCAAGTTGATCGACAATGCATGAGTTAGGTTAATCACATATTGCAAGTACCTTAGGCATAGGTCGGCAAAACTTGGGGAGCATCCCTGAGGCTCACTCATGAAATATAGTTGGAGCTTAGGACTCACTCGCACTCAGATATACAAAATTTTTCTTGAGTCGGACTCAGACTCGCGAAAACTTTTTTTCAGCCGGACTCACTCGGACTCAAACTCGTCAAAACATTGCCCACTCGAGCTTTCTCAGACCCATACTTACCGCTTGATCTGAGTCTGAGCGAATCCGAGTGAGTCGACTCATGAGTCCATGAGACTAGAACTAGCTTTTTAGATTATAGCGTCAATACTCTTCAACACCAACATCTCAGATCAATACTCATGTACCGCTTGATCTGAGTCTGAGCGAATCCGAGTGAGTCGACTCATGAGTCCGTAAGACAAGAACGAGCTTTTTAGATTATAGCCTCAATGCTCTTCAACACCAACATCTCCCGTGACCGGTGCTCTTCTTGGTGCCATCTGACGTAGCATCTTCGAAAACGAGTTCTGAATGCTTCCAATCCAGTAAGGAAATACTTCTCGCAAAAGATGACAACCTACGATGTACTTATAAAAAAGCTCCCGATAGAATTAGTGGAGGTAGAGTCCAAGGCACGTCCCTACGTAATTCACCGCTCTAATTAATCAATATCGAAGTGGTGTATGAAAGATATTGTTTTGAAATACTTGCAAGCAGACGTCAGCATAACATGAATGCTGAAGATGAGTATATAGGACCATAAGTCAGAAACCACTGAAAACTCACTTCGACTCTCTCCAGATATATAGCTTGCCCTTTGTACTTATTCAGATTCAAACTCACCAAAACGTTTCTGAGCCGTACTCATACGTACTCACACTCACTACAATGTTCTTCAACCGAGCTCACTTCCACTCTAACTCACCAAAACATGTATCGCCCGCACTCACTCACGGCTTGATCTGAGTCTCAGTTAGTCGACTCATGAGTGAGTTCGCCCACCTATGACGTACATAAATTATTAACCAAGCATAACGTGGTAGCCATCTCAGGCACATAGCAACGAATATTAGGAAACTCTGTGGCAACAACGCCTTCATTTATTCATAAAACCTACAGGCACTTAACACAATTTTTCACTATCAAACTGAAGCTGGCAGGAAGTATTTTTATCTTTATCACACACAGTAGATGTTTCAGTCGTCTCATGCATTTTATAAAGGTTCAGTTGCACGTTTTTTGGCTGTCCTTTAAGATTTTTTTTTCTCAATTTATTCATTGTCATGCTTC